TATTTAAGAGTAGCCTTAGAGGAGTACACTATAAGTAGAGGATAAAGCATTAGGATCCTAAAACTATACGTGGTGTAAGAGAACAGGTTTAGAACACATTGCTAACACGTTACTACAGGCGTATATATAGCAAATCTTTATATTAAGCTTAGGTAACTTAATTATTTACCTTTTTAAAGAGTAGGTATTAATTCTATTAGATTAAGATATATTCTAGATAGATATATTATATAAGAGGTTATATAGGGCATAGGTAGAGATTCTAATAGTAATCTTCTACCTATAGGAAAAGAAGCGTACGCATTAAGAATAGGTTTGTAATATATTTCTAATATATTATAGTTATTACACTTAGCTAAATTATTATAGACAAGGATATAACTAAGATATATTAAGTTACTATTACTAACTTCTTTTAGAAGTATAAAGCACTTACAAAAAGATAAGTGTTATAGAGGTATATTTACTTATAGGGATTCTATAGGACTACTATTAATATATATAACAAGTAGATAATAGGCAAGTTTTACAGCGCACCGCAATATGTTTGTAACATGTTTCTAACTTGTTTCTAGGACTTAGGCGCTATCTCTAGTTAATTAATCCCTATAAGCGTAACTAGCGCTAGTAACTTTAATCTTATATAAGATTTTGTTAAGTATATCTATAAAGAAGTATTTACAAAGCATGTAAAAGAGAGCTAGATAATACTACCTCTTTATATCTAAGTGAATTACTATAGGTATTAATAGTAGAGGAATACTTTTAGCTTGCTAACCTCCTCTTATATAAGTAAACATATTCTAAACCTATTCTAAACGTGTTCCTAACTTATTCTTATATAATTAGAACACAAACCCTCTAAAGATGCCTAAAACTAGGCAATCTATAAGAAAAACCTAGTAATTACTGCTAGGATTATGTAATACTATAGTAAAATATTAAAAGAGGTATAGGAAAAACTAGAATCTTATTTAAATATAGCTAAGCAAGCAGGCTAGAAAGGATATAAAACTAGTAAGCATGTAAGTATTCTTAAGGCTACTTAGAAGTAAGTTTATAACCTATTCTTAACCTGTTAGAATTGTATAAGTAACATCGTGTAGTGCACACTAGATAGATCTGCAGGATATAAAAGAGTTTAAAGCCTAGAGCAAGTTTAGAATACACTATAACTATAGAACTCCTAATAGGCTTAAGTAAAGGTACCTTAAAAAGCTTTAGAGGGGAGAAAGTAAGTCTTACGCTAGTGTTATATATATTTACTAATTAAAACATGTTTAGAATATGTTTAGAACGCGTCCTATAATAATAATAATACTCTAGATAATAATAAAGTAAGTCTTGCTATATCTAACTTAACTAGATATATCTTAGTCCTAATAAGAAATAAAAGAGCACACTTAAAAGCCTAAAGCTAGAGGGCAAGTAGTAGAGTAGTATTAGAAAGAAGTTTACTAGCCCCTTTTCTATCTTCTCTACTACTAGGCTCTTCTCCTTTACTAATAGTAACCTAAAGGTATGCTTTGTAAAACATGTTTATAATATATTCCTAACTTATTATTAGTCTATAACTATAAACTTTATAATAAAAGGCTCTTCTTAGTAATTAGGCTCTAAAGGAGAGAAAAGAAAAGCTAGAGGTAGATAAGGAAGAACTTGTATAGAAAAAGGCACTGTTTAAATTGCAAAAGGCATAGTTTAAACTTAAGAAAGAGATAGCTACTTTTTATATAAGGTAGGGTTAGTCTATAAATATAGTAACTAGTTCCTAACTAGTTCTTAATATATTCTAGTCTATTATATAAGCATATATAAGTAGATAAATATATATTCTTTCTTCTTCTCTTTCTTCTTCTTTCTTCTTACACTCTATAAGAACTTTTTATATTTAAGAGTTTAATACTATTTTACTATCTATCTTTTCTAATATTATTAGATATAACTAGTTAATATAGTCTATAAAGATCTTTTAAAGTTAGTATATAATAGAACGCGTTAGAAATATGTTATAAACTTGTTCTAATACTAAGTAGGATTTATACTAGCAATATATTAAGCTTAAGTTACTTCTATCTAATACTAGGGCATTCTCTCCTGTAATATCCTACCTAAATAATAGGTGTATAGTATTTCCTAGCAAGCTTTTCTACTAGGCTATTTAGGCTAGATTAGGGGTACAGGAACTTTGTAGAGTATATATATATATAAGTTAGAACACGTTTATAATATATTAATAACTATTTTAGTATTACTTCTCTAATAGAGGTAATCTTATCTACTACCTTAAGAGGTATTATCCTAAGGTTTAAATAGCCCTAGTAAACTATAGCAGAACTATAATACAAGGTATTATAGAAGCAAGGATCTTCTATAGAAGCTTAATAGTAAATGCTTAAGAACGTGTTCTAAACACGTTAATAATACATTCTCTACTAGTAGAGCAGACTGCACTAAGTGCCTCCTCTAAGGTTTAAGAACCCTCTAAGATAGCTAGTCTATAATAAGAAGTAGTAGCTAGAGTAGAGGCTAAAGAGGAAGTAGAGAGTAAAGAAAAGGAGCAAATAGTTGCTCCCCTTTATACTATAAATAATATTTAGTAAAAGTAGTAAAAAGGAGATATAAGTCTAGTCTCTTAAAACATGTTTAGAATATATTAATAATATATTATAGCTAGACACCTATAAATACTAGATTCTTCTTTAATCTAAGGGACTACTAGAGCTTTATAATACCTATAAAAGTTAAAAGAAAAAGTTATATACTATTAAAGGACCCTATAAAAGTAAATAGTACTTTACTTTTAGTAGATAGAAAAAAAAAGAGAAGAGTAGAGAGTTTATTTTAGTAATTACTACTACCCCTTTAGGTTATATACTATTATATATTATTTATTAGAACCTGTTCTTAATACGTTCTTAATGTGTTCCTACTTATTACTATTATTATCTCCCTCCCCCTCTCTAGTATCTTCTCTATCCTCCCTATCCTCCCTAGGCTCTATAAAAGCATACCGCAAGTGGAACTAGGCAGTATTCTAGTAGGAATTAGCAAGGTTTACACTAGTATTAAAGTAACAGTCTTAAAATATATTAGGAATAGGTTAATAATATATTATAAATAACTTACTATAGCTAGGATAATTATAAGCGTAGATAGTATAAGGAACCTAATAACCTTAAATCCTTAGTAGGGTAGATATAGTAATAAAGTTAAGCTATAACAAGTTAGTAACGTGTTTTTAACAGGTTCTTGCAGGCTATACCTTATTACTATTATAGCTACTATAAGTCTTCTTCTAAATTATATTTAGGAGGGTATTAGTATTTATAGGGGGGCCTATAGTTAGCCTACTAGCTAGGCTTAGAGAACTTCTATAAAACACGTTAGTAATAAGTTTTAAATATATTCTAAATAACTTATAGTAAGGAGTGTTCTAGTAATTATATATAACCTTTATATAGAAGTCTATATATATTAGTATAATAAGTTAAGAATAGGTTAATAATATATTTACTCTTTGCCTTATAGACCTCTATTATAGAGGGCTAGCTAGTCTTCTTAACCCTACTAACCTTATAGTAGGCTATATTAAGCCTATAATCTTTTTTAGTATAGGTATATAGAGTGCCCCTAGTACCTAGAATAGCCTAAGAATATTAGAACCTATTTAGAATATGTTTAGAACCTATTCTTACTCTATATAAGGTGCCCTTATTATTAATCTTAGTATAGTAGTAGCGCTCTCTACTCTCTATCTTAACTACCCTATTAAGGCTAACTATAGGCTATACCCTAATATTATCTAAGACGTAGCTAAGGGTAAGGTACTATTAATAGTGCTTCTATAACCTATTAAGAACACGTTCTAAACATGTTTTAATCTGCTTACGTAGGATAAGAGGGATGCGTTAGTAATAGGTATAGTAGTAGTAGCTTATAGTATTACTAGTATAGAATATATTTAGAATAGGTTTAGAACGTGTTATAAAATCTTATAGTATAATATTTAGTTAACCTTGCTTAGCTAGCTAGTAGAGCTTAGCACGGCCTAACCCTATGCCAAATACGAGTTCACGCAGCGCTAATTCCATGGTTATATGAACTGCGCCCTCAGCATTCTTTGCCTGTGGCTATGTCAAGTCGTTTGGGGATGGCTTCGCAAGCAAACGCGGTCCGAACACTGCTACTGAATATAGTTTAGTATGTAGCGATCTTCAAGTCAGCTTATTCTTCAAAGGTTCCAAATCTGCCTCTTGAAGTGATAGACTGTCCTAAGGCTAGATGTTTTGTCTTGAATTGCAAGTTCGCTTCTGATGTGTCGGCTTTGTAAGAGGCCTGGCTAGGCTAGGGAGGATTTGCAATTCAAGAATGGATTTAATATAAGTGTGATGCATTGTGACAGGCGATCCTACGGTACATACTTAGAAGATGTATGGCCGCCCCGTTAGACCGCATCAGGCCACTCCATATTGAAGGGCAAGATCTGTGGGGATCATGAACCCACGCCTCTACCCAGCCTGAAAAGGGAATTTGACGTAGACCATTGCCCATCAGCTACAGGGTGATGTTCGCAGGCAATGCTCGGTAACGCCAGCCAAAGTGATGACCCGGACAGAATGATTGACAGCCATCGAGGTGGTCGACGACATAGGAAATGATGGAGAGTGGTGCGTTAACATGGGTAAATGATATGACAGGGCATCGGATTAATGACGAGGAAGGGTTTGAGGTTGAGGTTATATAGTGCGGCTCCTGAGTCGTTATCGACCGCGTTGTCCCTTGCCCACATGGAAGGTACTGTGAGGTAGTCGGAAGAATCTCGTACAGTTGTCCCAGTCGCCACATGGATGTCACCACTGAGCACTTCAGATTCCCTGTTGTTATAGACGAATCGCATGCTCGGTAATACACCAAGACGGTGACCAAGTAGATGTATGATACACAGTACAAGTGTGAAAAGTGTGAAACCCATGTTCGGAACACGAAGAATACTGCACTCATAGCTTGTAGCTACCAGCACCCTTCTTTGCCGTATTCTTAACCTCCTTTCCTTCGACATCGGTAAGCGTACCCTTTCGTCCAATGATTTGTACACCACCTTTCTTCAAATCACCAATGAGCTGTTTCTTCTCTGTCTTCTTCTTTTCCTTTTTCTCCACCTTCTGGTCCTTTGGCGTATTGAGACCAGCCTTCTTCGCCTTCTCCTTCGCTCTCCGGCGCCGCCTTAGTTTTTCTTCCTTTGTCATTTCTTCACGAGCAATAGGCATACCACCACTGGTAACAACTTCAGTCTTGCTCTTTTCCTCACCAGGCTTGTACATTTCTTGGGGAGCGAGCATGCTAGCTCCAGCCACTTCGCCGCCGGCAGTGGGCCGCGCGTCTTCCATTTCGATGGCGGGTGCATCGACACGGATCTCGAGGTTGGCGGCTGCAGGTTTAGGCTTGAAGTGCGAGGAGCTGAGGGAGTCGAGCTTGGCGGATAAGCTCTTCCATAGTGCTGAGATCTCGTCATGCTCCTTCTTGAGCTTGTCGTCTTTTGCGTCAACATAATTAGGATCGGTCTCCTTCAGCAAATCTTCCTCATATAGCTCAGCTAGCCCCTTTCCAGATTTGGTATCGTCTAGTTCAAAGCGTCCACGTCGCACAGGTCCTGTGGCAAGATCGTCGGGACGACGTCGTAATACTTCGTCGAACTCGCCAGCAATGATCCTTCGCTTGATCAGCGCTTCGATGTCTTCTGAAACCTCTGCTGTGATAATGGGTACAGGCTTTCCAGCCCGCTCAAACTCAAGATTTTCTTCAAGAAGCGAATTGAGGGGTCGATCTGCTGCGCGAGCCTCACCAGAAAGCTGCCATTCACGCTTCGCAACATTCGCTGCTTCTAATTTCCTGATCTCTTCTGCTAGCTTTGCCTGTCGTCGTTCGTGTGTGGATCGTCGTGACTTTGGATCTGAAGGGTCCAAATCTGAAAGATCGCCGTTGCTTTCGGCGTCATCGTCGTCCTCGAACAAATCTCTGTGGACCCTAGCCATGGTTCCTTCAACTTCCTCCTCGGTGATGGCTTCTGGTTCTGCTTGTTTCTCTGGGAAGTTGTGAGGGTTTGGCCGTCCCCGCTTCTTCTTATTCTTGCCGACTTTCTTCGCCGGTGGTGCGTAGAAATCAGCGTACATGATGTTGTTGGCATTCATTCCGTCGTCCATGGCATCCAGATCACCCTCTTCGAATTCTTCATCGTCATCGCTATCACCTTCTGGCGCATTAAGATCAGCATTGCCGAAAGTTGGTCCCCCAGCATCAGATTCGTCGTCACCCATGTCATCTGCATCTTGTGCTTTACTCTTGCCTGACATGGGATCAGCCGTCCAATCAATCTCCTCGTCATCGCTTTCTGCTGCTTCGCCACGTTGATCCTGCTGTTCGAGAAAATCCGTCTGCTTGTTGAAGTCATCGATGGAGAAGAAGCCGTCATTGAGACCATTTGGATCAGGCACGTATGTTTCGGCAGGTTCATCTTCTGATTGGTCTTCTTCGGAGAACATGCCCTCAGCATCATCATCCATTCCCATGTCCTCGTCGCCGGAAAGTGCGCCACTGGACGCTTCCTCGTCTCCGCTCTCGTCTCCATCCTCGTCTACACCATCGTACTCCCATTCTACGCCTTCTTCGCCTATACTTGAATCCGTATGATATTCCTCTGCCTCGTCCAGATCTTGCGCATCATCGTCGTCGTCATGGACGGCGACGACACCGTCCTCGTTTTCTTCAGGTAGGGATATTTCGATTTCGTCCGTTGCTGCCTCGACAATCTTTCTGGTCTGCTCAAAGACCTGATTGACTCCGAAGCCATCTAGATGCACCTTCTTCAGATGCAATACTCTAATGTCATCGTTGTATCCTCCTCCCCGTTTCCGCTTCTTGCGCAGATCTTGCTGGCGCAAAGCTTGCGACTCGCTGACACCCGCGGCAACCGGATCCAAGTATCGTTTTGCTGCAGCGAGGAAAGACGCATTCAACTGTGTCGTCGGCTGCAAAAAGGCGAGTGGCTTTACCAGAAGAGTCGCAGCTGGGTCAGTGGAGGTGGGAGGAAGCTCCATTGGGGGTGGATGTGTAGAGCCAATCGAAAGTGTGCGAGATGATGTAGACGTGTCGGGAGAGAAAGAAGACGGTGCCATTTTTGTTTGCGGTATCACCTTTACTTTGGCTGTTCTCGCGAAGTTTTGCTCGCACGCGCTGTTGCGAAACAACTTTTTTTCTTGGAGTTCACGGACTTGGATGGTCCGTGTTGGCGCGCACGCTAGCCGGGCTCCACCATCCATGTGGCTTGTAACTGCTAGAAGTCTTGTCTATGCTTCATGCTTCATGCCTCAGAACCCTTGAAGCCTAGATTGACTTCATTCCAGTCATGCGTCTGCTTTTGCTTTTACTCGCTTAAATCCTACGATAGCTTATTACGACTACTCGTCGGTCGCTTATACCTCCCCATTGCATATCAGGTTTGGTACTGTCTCTGTAAATGACCATTACTGATCAAAGTCCTCACTACATCCTTTGAATTCCACGGCACGATCCAGATCAGATCACGATCTGAGTGTCTTCTTCCAGCCCGAGACCTGTGAAGAACATCTGGAGAAATGGCCTGAGATTGACATGCAATCAGCGACTAATATGACCGCCAAGATTAGGAAGCTGTTTCCAACGGCGATGAACGCTATGAGGAAGTACAACGTCTGTGCATGAGTTCATAGCGCTTTCTGCTATGCTGTGGGACATGAATGCTACTGTTCCAATTCTATCCAAAACTCCATGCTTACCCAGTATATATAAAACTTGAATATATACATATACACATCTCTTCGTGAAACGCATCATCTGCTCATCGTGAACTCATAACAAAACCATTGCGATCCCCGCCGCAATCGACGCACCCACCATCCCCCAAATCGTCCCCTGCGATACAAATGACGCTGTACTAGGCGCGACCTTTGCCTGAACGCCCGTCTCGCCCGATGCAGTAGCCGTGCATTGCTCTCCACACTCAAACCCATCAGGACAGCAATTCCCACCCCGATTCGCAGGACAACTATACCACGCACTTGGACAAGATCCGCCCTGCCCCGCGGCTGTTGTCGCTACACCCGCGCCTGTCGGCGCTACAACAACTACTCCATTCGTGTTTAGTATTGTGTCGGTGGGCAGCACGCAGGAGCCCGTGGTCTGACAATCGCGACCAACGCGGCAGCAGCCAGAGGGGTAGTATGCGCTGCAGACATAGAAGCCGCTAGGACAGACGTCGTTGGATGGCTGTGCGGATTCTGTAGTAATCATCGCGCCGCTGGTTGGGCGGACGGGGGCGGATGGTGCTTGAGCGCTGGTAGGTTCGTCTCCAATGCAAGAGGCGCCTGTTGCGCAAGTGCGGCCGTTCTGGCAGCAGCCGCCGCCCAGGCTGGCCGCGCAGGAGAACCAGCCTGTAGAGCAGACATAGGAGGAGGATGAGGATGGAGTTGGTGTGGGTGTAGTCGTTGAGGACGTGGAAGTTGTGGTTGGGACTATAACGTCGGGTGTTGAGGATGGTGGAGTGGCGCTGGCAGAATTGGACGTTGTGGATGGTTGAACATAGGCCGTTGATGTACCTCCAGCGACACCTGACTGATATTAGCTTTTCATTTGTGAAGATATTGACGAGTGTGAACTTACAGCCGATTCCAAGGCATTGAAAGCCAGGCAGGCAACATCCACCATTCGGTGAACCTGGACACGAAGAATACCCCAGTGACGTGTCACAACTTACAGACCCAGCACATGTCTGACCTTCGAGACAACATCCCACAGATCCAACGTCTGTACTACTATCCACATTGATGCATGTGCTTGTAGACCCACAACATACATCAGGTGCACCGACCGAAGCACAATTCCTCGTTCCTTCTGGACACGCGAATTGCCTCTTCAATAGCAGGTCCCTTATATGTAGTCGCGCCAAAAAGTCTTCCTCGGCAACTGGCCGCAATGGCGACCGCATTCGCAGAGTGCCATTTTCAAGATCCATGATGTCTGGTTGCCCTGGCGTCGAACCTTGGACATCCGAGGCGAATATCCAGTTTTCCAACATGAACATCTCGCCTTCGTCCAGGCTCATTTTCTTCACCCCAATAGGCTTCTCATTTTGCAGCTTTTCGTATATATCCAGCGATCTCCTGGCGTGTTGTTCGTCCTCGGGAAAGTACTTCAAATGCTTCGGTACGTTGTGCGGCCATTGCGGTTCGGCGGACGATGCTGTGGCTAACAGCAGCGCGATGATGGCGGGCGGGAGGGATAATAATTGCGGTATATGCATGGTAATTCGTATGAGTCTATGGTCCTACTAAAGATGCTGGTAGAGGAATGCAGGGCTGCATTACTGCGAATCTGAAGTGTCGGTGAGGTGGCTGGTGTCACTTCGTCGGGCACGAATCAGGGAATTGACGAGGCTGGGAGGGATGTGCTGGCGCCTCACCGCTAGAAACACAAACCGGGAGCATCCTGTCGAAGTCGAACCTACTGAGAGATGGTATTTACTTTATTTGCATATGAGAGAGGTCTGTTCCGGAACATTGTCGCAGTCAGTCAGACGTCATGTCGGTGATTAAGGCGTGGTGCTTCCGTCCGATCCTTCCGAGTTTTCGGAATCGCGACTGACGACTTGATGACTTCTCCATCACCTCAATGTTAGACGCTATCGTGGCCCGCACAACACTTACAACTGTATTTGAGGATGTCATTCGCATATCTGCATGTTCCTCACTCTGACCCTTGAGTTGATAGACCCAGATATGCAATGTCTTACAGATTGGCACTTATTAGACGGCATCTTCTTTGCAAGCCCATTTAAAACATGGAGGAAAACAAGATGATGGTAGACAGTTTATACAAAAATGCACTGATACCGGTACAAGGCGCCATGTCCTCTTGAACCATCCCTTTCACAAAAAGATTTCACTAAAAATCCTCTTTCGTATTCCATCTTTCTGTATATTTTCTTGCAACACACACAACTCCATTCTGTAAAGACCCAGATTGCGATACCTGCTCTCAGGCACGACATAAATCCTGACTGCACATCACCACATCGAATCCTCAAATCCCAGCCACCACTAAACTCATCCCTTCAATCGTTCCACGTGCTTACGCCACATCTTCACACACCTTAGTTTCCTCCGTCTCAGGAAATTTCAGCCTATTCCAAGGCAAAGACGTGTCCGAACACCCCAAGCTTTCTCCAGATGAATGAGCGAAAGGGGAGAAACTTGCATTCGTTTCTTGGGATGCTGAATGCAGACACGGCTTCTACCTTACTGTTAACGCTATATGCCGTGTAGACATGTTTATCTCTAAAATACAGGGAATAGCTAGAGCTTGGAGGAAGCAAAGATGACGTTAGTCTCGTGAGTGGATGCATATTGCAGTGTAGGATCGTGTGCCTGGCATGACTTGAGAGTAATGAGAAATGCTTGTTTGGGGCTGGAAAACGGAAAAGAAAGACAGAAAAAGAGGTTTGTCACTGTAACGTCGAGTATGAAAACAAGTCAACATAGCAGACAGTCTATACAAGGGAATTTGATTTTACGAAAAAATAATCTAGTAGGTATGCTATATTCTAATGATATTTTCAATCCCTCTAGATTTGCCAAAATATACGCAGTCGACGCCAAAACAATCACTGTCGGTTGCGTGATATACAATCACCACCACAACTATCCCGACCCAAGCGGCACTCACCTCGACACAAAGCCTACAACTTGCTCTTCTCAATTCGCTTGAAGAGGACATCATTGTCCGGGTAAGGATCCACGGTGATATCGTTCAGCGGATTCAGCTCACTGGCCCTGTAGAACATGTCCTCATACACCTTTCCATCCTTGCGACCGAGCGAACTATCGAGCACCCAGTCGTCGAAGCCCCATGCATCCACAAGTCGGACGGCATGGGGGCGGATCTCCTTGAGCAGCTGCATCACAGTCGTGTTGCGGGCAAGGGAGATTTGGTGCTTGCTGCAAGCACCACTGACATAAAACTCAGAGGCCTCCTGCTCGAGCGTATGGAGGGCAAAGAGGCGGAAGAGTTTGAGGAGAACATCATGGATGGCGGGGTCGGTCTTGCCGTCCTTTTGGATAGCTTTGATTGCATCGAGGTTGTTCTTGACAATCATGTATTGTGCATGGGCTTTGCTGAGCTTGTAGAAGTTGACAAGGAGATCGTTCCAGGCCCTCTTTTGCTCGTCGCGGTGCTTGCTGGCTTCAAAGGTGAGGAAGGAAACGCGCCATGCGAAGGCGGCCACGAGATCTTCGTCGGAGCCAATTACGTCAAAGGCGCAGCCAATGTCGCGCCGAGAGTGGAACTCGGTGAGGATCGTGGTAGTCTCATTCACAGGCTTGTCGCCCTTCAGGACTGAGCGTGCTGACTTGAGGAGGTAACGAGCAACCTGACCGCTAAGCATATAATTGTCGCCCTCCCAAGTCGTTGTTGGCAAATAATCGGAATACCAGGGCCCGATACCGCTGAAACTGGAGTACCCGTGGCCACCGCAAGCTCGTCGGCAAACCTCAAGACCCTCGGCCGCAATTGTACTACTAAGAGACTTTAGAGCGCAAGACGACGCATGGAGATCGGCAAGCATGTCGCTTCCAGGCATCACTTCTTCTGGGCCAGCGCCTCGCGAACTTGGGGCGTTGCTGGCGGCTCCTTGTGCGATCTTCTTCTGGTTCTCCTGGTACATCTCCATCATCGCCTTCCCAGTGAAGTGAAGGGCAAAGGTGGCAGCCAAAAGCGGAAGTATACGAATCTGAACCAATGTGTAGTTGAGGACAGGAGTCTCACCCTCGCCAGCCGGTGCATCACGATCCTGGAACTGGCGGCGAACAGCACAGTAACGGGTCGCAATAGTCACACCACGAGCAAGGACGCTACCAGCCTGCATGACGATGGTGGAGCGCACCCAGGTAAGCGTTCCGTAGACGAGTGATGGCGCACCGCGGCGACCGAATTTGTTGGTCTTGGGGTCTACGTGCGTGTACCTGGCCAACATACTGATGTGCGGCACCTTGACCTTGTTGAACAGTAGGAAGCCGTTGTCCATGGTATTGTAACCAAATTTGGGACCAATGTCACCAACATGAATGTTCTCAAGGGGTTCATGGGTCTTGAGGTCGCGTATCTGGACACAGAATGGTGTAGGCCCATATGACTTTCCGTCAATCATCAGCTGGGCCATGACGACAGCATAATTGGCGGTACGTCCAAGCGAACCGATCCACCATTTGCTCGCAGTGAGATGGGGAGAGTGGAGGGTAAAAGTCTTGTCATCTGCATTCCAAGTCGCGGTGGTCTCGAGTCCACGCACGTTGGAACCGTGGCCAAGTTCGGTCTGGGCATAGCATCCAATGATTTTGTATTCTCTGGCCGGTTTGAGCCACCTATCTTGCTGCTCAGGTGTACCTTGTCCCTCGAGGGTGACCTGTTCGAATTAGCGAACTGGTGAGGACACGATGGCGGTTTGTTACGTACCATGAACATGGAATCGTGGAGTCCATACGGACCTGGCTCTCCAACGAGCTCTGTGGCCGTTCTGAACTCGTCGTAGGTCCAATTGTGCTGCTTCTTGAGATTCCTCAGACGCTTTTCTCTTGCGAGAGCCCTTTCGAACCGATCTGTGCGTCCCATGAAGTAATTTTGCGACTTGTCAAAGACCTTCTCCGACTTGAGGAGAGCAGTGATCTTATTCCGCCTGTCAATGCTACCCTGGGTGTGGAGAAGCACCTCCAGCTCCTGTGATGGGACATTGGAGTTGGCGCGTTCTTGCTTGAGCATCTCGTGCCCTTGCACGCCCGAAGGCTTCAATTGCTTGACCCAGTCTGGTGTACGTGGCATTTTTGAGTGAGTTCTGGTGATGGGAATGCTTGATGGGAAGAAGGAACAGATGTCTGGGGGAGGGAGACAGACTATAATGCATTACGACATGGCCGAGGCTTACTTGTGGTAGTCAGCCGCGTAGACGCGCTAGACGAAGTTCCGAGGTACCGCACGGCCCTCCGACCATCGCACCTCCAGATATCATCTTGAGTCAGTCGAGAGCACATGTTTGGTGGATGTTGGTTGATGGTAGTTGTGGTGTTGGTGGATGGTGGTGGATGTGGATTCTCTGCCTGGTGCATTGGGCCCAGATGCCCAGATGCCCAGGTGCGCGTACGCGAGGTGCTCGTGACTATGTCGATATCGCGGTACCTTTGCCTTTAGTCTGCGCATAGGGCGAGACACGGTAAATTTGGACTCACCGCACTGGCAATTGCCTCGGTCGCTGGACCCGTGAAGATTGGTTACATCATTCTTCTGTGTCATTTGAATTTTCCTGAGGCTGCTGGTTCGCATGAAGACAGGAGATGGGAGGGAAAAGACAAAGAATGCGACGGCCAATGGTGAACTCATCTTCTTCTGTGAGCTCGATTGATTGAGCGGGTAGCTCAGACTCTTTGTATATAGGTATGACGGGATAGGTACTATACAGCACCGTTGGCACATGTCGTGTTGGGGTCGTACAGGGCGCCTGTTTGTGTCATGCACGTGAGTACAGACAAGGGCACACCACAGTCCTACTGTGTATGTAGCGACCGCATAGCACAGAGAAACATGACGAGGCAGGCGTTTTACACAATACCCAAGATCATACCGAAAAGCGGCAGATTTGGCAAACTCTCCCAGTACTAGGGCCCTGCCAATGGGTTTGGGCGAATGCTGGGGGATTGTTGGCCGGAACGGTCGAATGGTCCTCACAGTGAGCTTCAAGTCAGCACCAGCAGCCCGTGTAGATACATTGTACACTGCACACTGTACACAGGCCTAGGCCGGATGCTGACAACCGTGCTCAGACGGTTACTGGCAGATGGCAGAGGGTAGGCAGAGTGGGTAAATATGAAGGTACTCTGGAGCTGGCTGGTACTGGCTCCCCCTGCTGCTGTGCAATGGCACCCGAAACGGTCGCAGTGGGTGTGCACTGCGCAGAGACACTATTAGCCGCCTGCTGTCTTTGACACGACGATGCACCGCCTTCAAGAGGGCACGCGAGGTTGGGCGCAAAGGAGCAGAGCGCAGAGCGCACCCCTTTGTGTCTTCAGGCCCCGCCGTCTGTCCATTTGTGAATGGGAGCTGGCGTAGCTAAGAGTAGTGAAGTTTTGTAAGAGTAGTATAAAGAGGAGATCATTATCGAGTAATAAGAATCGTAGGCGGAGTAGGTAGTAGGCATGTTTGTGCAGAAAATGCTGCTGCCGTCATGGCACAGCACTGTCAACGATGAGTACTACCTGTGGCCTCGACCATTAGCCACTTCCGCTAGCGCCATCCGCGTAGCCTGTCCTGTCCGTCAAGGCTCGTCACTTCGCCGCCGCCCTCAACACCACGGCAGCCCTCTGTTTACCTCCCCATGAGCCAGGCACGTTGATTCTTCTCCTTCATCTCCCCCTGCACCTACAACCTGTTCCGACCCCCTACTTTCAACCTCTGTTTGCGATCCTTATCGCCACCCTCCTTGGCTTCCACAAACACAACCCCCCACGGCCACCCACATCACCACAAGACCCATTTGGAAATACATGCCCACCCAGATTTCGGCGACCCACCCCCATCACCCCTTTCTCTTCCCCCACGAGGCCTCTTAGGAACCGGACATCATGGGTCAGACGCTCTCAGAGCCCGTAGTCGACAAGGTAATAATTGCCCGTTGCTGTCCTCCCCCGCCCCCGCACTGTGCGCTCTTTCCCCGAGCACCGCTGCGACGTCGGGGTCGTGTCCGGCCGCCTTCAATCATGGCGCAAAAGTATAAGTGAGGGCATTGCAGCTGACACGCCATTTACGCAGAAATCCGAAAATGGCGAGGGCGAGTCGCTCATCTTCGGTGTCTCTTCGATGCAGGGCTGGCGGATCAGCATGGAGGACGCACATGCTACAGTGCTCGACTATGCTGGCGAGCAAGGCAAGCCGACCGCTACCGACAAGCGACTAGCCTTCTTTGGTGTATACGACGGCCACGGTGGTGACAAGGTTGCTATCTACACGGGCGAGAATCTGCACCAGATCGTCGCAAAGCAGGAAGCCTTCAAGAAAGGCGATATCAAGAAGGCTCTTCAAGATGGCTTCCTTGCGACAGACAGGGCGATATTGAGCGGTATGCATCCACCAACATCCTTCGGCTTGTAAACGGCAGGCGCGGCTGACTCACCATGACAGACCCCAAGTATGAAGAGGAAGTCTCTGGATGCACGGCCACTGTGGGCATACTGTCACACGACAAAATCTACGTGGTATGTTGAACACCCTAGGCCCACATTCGTCGCTAACCTTGGTATAGGCAAACGCTGGCGATTCGCGCACTGTCTTGGGAGTCAAGGGCAGAGCGAAGCCACTTTCATTTGACCACAAGCCGCAGAACGAAGGTAAACGCCTCGATGATGCTTTGTTAGTGGACAGTGCTAATTCCCGCTAGCCGAGAAAGCGCGTATCCAAGCTGCAGGTGGCTTCGTTGATTTTGGCCGTGTCAATGGCAACCTTGCCCTGTCTCGCGCAATAGGTGACTTCGAGTTCAAGAAGAGTGCCGACCTTCCTCCAGAGCAACAAATAGTCACGGCGTTCCCGGACGTTGAGATACATGAGATCAACCCTGACGACGAGTTCTTGGTGGTAGCGTGTGATGGTAACCGCGCCCTCGGAATTGTTCGAACACGCAGCTAACAACCTGCAGGAATCTGGGATTGCCAGTCTTCTCAGGCTGTCATCGAGTTCGTCCGGCGCGGAATCGTGGCGAAGCAGGATCTTGCTTCCATTTGCGAGAACATGATGGATAACTGCTTGGCTTCAAACAGTGACACTGGAGGGGTTGGATGTGACAACATGACTATGATTGTCGTTGGTCTGCTGCAGGGAAGGACGAAGGAGCAGTGGTATGAGGACATTGCGAAGAGGGTCGCGAATGGAGAGGGTCCATGTGCGCCGCCTGAGTACGGCAAGTCTGAAGACCCAGCCTCTTCCGTCCCGGAGGACGAGTAGTTCAGTTCTAATGTAATTGTGTAGCTGAATTCCGCGGTCCTGGTGTTCAACATCGCATTGACGATAGCAATGATGACATCGACATGGAACTTGACAGTCGCTTCCGACCTAACAGCGGTTCAGGGGGCCGTATCATACTTCTTGGAGATGGTACAGAAATCTCCACCGACGGACACGACGGCGAAATGTTCAGCAATGAGGATGAGGAGAAAGACCTTGACTCGCAAGTGAATAAGTATACGCGAGAAGCCTCCAACACGCGCAGCGAACGTGAGGGCACAGCCAGCCCTCAATCCAGCACTGCCCAGGTGACCGAATCGCCATCCTCGGTACAAACCGAAAAGTCCGACGCTCCTGAGTCTGACAAGAAGACGGCAACTGGCGCGACCAAAACAAGTGAGAAGTAGCTTGTGCTCCTTTAATCTGATCACGTTGCCGTTGCCTGATGTTCAGGCTTGGCATCCAGGTGCAACTGCGCTGAAGTTTTTTTTATTTCGGTCTTCAGTAGGAAATGTTGGTTGTCTGCATGATTAGTCGGTAATCTGCAAATTTGTCTCAGGGAGCGATACTGGGCAGCGTCTCGAATGATACCTGGCGAGTTAGATTGTCGCCAACTTCCTTACCTATATACCTTTCATGAGTTGACTTTGTCGTAACCCTGGGCTTGCTTGAAGTATGGTATGATGTTGCTGAAAGCTGACCAAAACGCAGTGCAACCAATGTGGCGTCCCGCGGAGCAGCTCAGTAGATCATCGCTATCTTGATTCCAGATCTCACTGTACTCTCTCATCTTATGGGCCCTGGCTTCCTTGGGGTAACATGCTATGGAACAGCTGGCTATGCTACGCGTGTGGTGCTTGTCTATGCCCGATAATATATCCATCGTTTGAACGCTTTCATTCGAAGCTTGACCTGTATGCCAAGGCGGAGTACCCAGAGCCTTGGGAATCCCATCGTTTGGTGAAGAGAATACTAGCCTAACACTTGACCGTGGATTTGATGGGGTCGCACTTGAATTGGAATTGCCGCCAAGTTGTCGAATGTGATCACATGCCTGGAACAACTGAAATGTGCAGAAAATCCTTTGTCACCCAAGTCGGACAAAAGTTTCAAGAACAATTACAGGGTTGATGTAGGATCTAAACCTCAAGACAGCTATGTCAGGCAAATTGAAGTACATGTTGGTTCCAAGGTTGTAATTGGCCGTGGGGCAGACTAGGCCCCATTCGCGACCGGCATAGGGCTGAAGCTCAATCGGGCCGACGGCTGGTCCAAGCACTTCCGAGCTGCATCACCAACTTCCTCCGTTGTGTCTGCCTTCTTGTAGACTCCACACCTTTACGCCTAATGCTCTGCTTTGACTGATTTAGCGTAGTTCGATCGCGATAATCTTTTAAAAGCAATACGGGCGTTCTAGAAGCGGTTCAACTCTAAAGTAAATCATCACGAAATATGTCGGTCATATTGTGTACAGGTACGCATGGCTCCCACCCCACACGTGCGTGTTGTTTATAGCTAACAATGTCGCAGCTGGATATGACCACACCATCCGGTTCGTTGCAGGCATAGTACGCATAGCTCTCCCTGTTATGCTAATCTTGGAGTCGTAGATTCTGGGAAGCTCTCTCGGGCATCTGCTCGCGCACTATCCCACACCCCGACTCGCAAGTGAATCGTCTGTGTATATCACCCGACAAGCGCTACCTCGCCGCCGCCGGTCACCACACCGTTAAACTGTACGACATCAAATCCACCAACCCAAATGCCATTCTCACCTTTGACGGCCACACGTCCAATATCACGGGCGTCGCATTCCACTGTGAGTCCAAGTGGTTGGTGACCTCTAGTGAGGACGGTACTGTCAAGATCTGGGATACCAGGAGTGGGAACGTACAGCGCAACTATACCCATGGCGTGCCAGTCAATGACGTGGTCATCCATCCCAACCAGGGCGAATTGATTAGCTGCGATCGTGGAGGCAACGTCAGGATCTGGGATCTGGGTGAGAATAAGTGCTCACACCAACTGATCCCCGAGGACGATGTCAGCGTAGCCAGTGTAACTGTTGCTAGCGACGGCAGCATGTTATGCGCTGGGAACAACGCAGTGAGTATACCCGCCTTTACCCATCCTCTTCTTTCTCGAGCCTATACCAACACACGCATCTCAAGGGAAACGTTTACGTATGGCGCATGATCCAACGTACAGACACGACGTCCATCCTCCCCATCTGCAAATTCCTCGCGCACTCGACCTACATCACCCGTGTCCTCCTCTCGCCCGACGTCCGCCACCTAGCCACTTGCTCGGCAGACCATACGGCACGCATCTGGTCCGTCGACACAAGCGCCCCCCACAACGTCATGCCCAGCGACAACCTCCCCACCGCCGCCGACCGCGACCCCGCTGCCTTCCCCCTCGAGACAACCCTCCACGGCCATCAGCGCTGGGTCTGGGATTGCGCATTCAGTGCCGATAGTGCGTATCTGGTGACTGCTTGCTCGGACCACTATGCGCGTCTGTGGGAGCTCGGAAGCCAGAGTATCATTCGGCAGTATAACGGGCATCATCGTGGCGCCGTCTGTGTGGCTTTGAATGATACGGCCGTGGGGAATTAAGTCTGTTCTTGTTGGGCGGCTGGGTTCTTTCAAACGCATGAATGATTACACACGATGGAACGGCGTAAATGGCAAATTTTTCTCATCCTTGTTTTTTGCCGGAAGGTTCTGCATCAGCGTTGGCGTTTCTTTTCTTCTTCGTCTCCTTCCTCCTTTCTTCTGCCTCTTATCTTCTCTAATCCCTTCAACGACAACGCCAAAGGGGCGTTATATATGCTCTCACGCGGTTCTTTCTTCCCCCAGCGGGCCAGCAGGAGAGTTCCTTTGTATCGTATCGGTCATACATATAGATGCAGACGAGAATGATCACTACAGTGGATTTTTTTTTGGCAATTTACATTTCTAACATGACATGAATCGTGATTGTGGGGGTTGCTAGGGTTTGGGGGTCTGGGGTGGTGCGTGGTTGGGTGGGGTATGTGATGGGCATGGGGCATGACAAACCGAGGAAAGAAGACGCCTGATGGGTAGGTATGGTTGGTTGGTTGGTTGGTCTGCGAGGGGACTTGGTATATATGTATACGCATATATACATTTACATGTGTACTTGCGTGTACTCCACCCTTCTCCACCGCACTCTACTCCCGTACAAACTTCCCACCTTGTCTCAGTCTTGATCATTGCACATGCTGTTGAATATACCGCAAGGTATATAAGTGCATAAACATATAAATGCATTTACCTGTGAAGGTATGGATATAAATCATACAAGTATAAACCATATGTACATACATATATATATTCAGTAAACGTGCCCATCACACGACAATATACACCCCATCCCCATCCCCATCCACCATCCACTCCGCTCTCCGCTTCCGCCGCGAGTTGCGGAATTCTGCTGGGAATTTTCGCACTGGGATTGGGAGGGAGTTTTGCTATGTACATGTCGTAAGTATATCCCCTTCTTATCAGTGCATGTCGTATTCCTCCCTCATTCCCACACCCCCTCAAATTCCCCCACTATTTCTCCCATCCCCCTCCCTCCAGCGCAGAATCCACCAATCCAACAAAACAAACCCCTAGCCTCCCCACGACACCTCACCGCCCACCCAATAGACCCGACAACCAGCCTGCAAACTGTTTCCCGCTCATACTAGGGGTATAAGAGAGAACACTCTGGGCATCCTCTGCATCTGCATCGGCGCCGGCATTCCCAGCTCCACTCCTGCGACCACTTCTCTTGTCGGGGGTCTGGAAGCGGGCCTGGGGATCCAAACTAGGCGGCGGGACCGTCTTACCGCGTGAGCGAAAGAGCGGGGGTGTGTGTTGTGGTGTTGGCGTTACTCTGTCGATGTGGCGGTCTCGATCGCGGCTGCGCAGGCTGAGGGAAGAGCGGGGGATCCAGCGGGACTCGGGGGTGTGGAGCGAGTGTCTGGGTTGCGAGGGCATAGGCGTGGGTGTGTGGCGGGGAGTCGGGGTTGAGGAGGGGCTGTTGCGGGGATGGGTAGAGGTATGGGGTGTTATTGTGGTGCTGGTAGTGGTGATGGAGTTTCTGGTGGGTGGTGGAATCGTGGTTTCCAAACTGGGCGATGGGGATTTGCTGTGCGTTGGGGTGGAATGGGTTGGGCTGTCGATGCCCTTCGTTGTTGCGTGGGTCATTTGCGCGGATAATGGTACGCCGCCGGTCTTGATCCAGGGCCGGACTGTGAATGACGATGACAACGTATCTGGCATGTCGCGTATCAGCAATGACTAGGAGAGAGAGGTGCTAAAGATAGATGATGTCTCTTAGGTGGGATTGGCACCACCTTCATCCTCCTTAGCATCCTCCGCGTTCGACTCCTCCGTCGGCGCCGCTTGCTCTTCCTCAGCCTGAGCGGCGGCGGCGGCGGCCTCTGCTTCTCTCTGGGCAGCCAGTGCCGCAGCCGCAGCCGCATTCTCGCGCTCCCTCTTCTCCGCCTTGGCCTTCATGCGCGCAGCTTCGCGCTCAGCGTTCTCCTTGCGTGCACGTTCGTCCTTGGCCTTGCGCATGCGCTCCACTTCTTCGACGCCGCCGCTCTTCTTGAGTTTGCCTTCTTCAACAAAGGAGCCAAGCTCGCGCTTGAACTCATCGTCGTTTCTGGTCTCGAGTTCGCGCTGACGAGCCTTTTCCGCGCGTTCAATGGCTTCGAGGCGGCTCTCGTGGTTGGGTTGTAGCGCCTTGACTTCGCCTAGGACACCATCCCGTGCTTGTCGCGGATCGACTGCTTTGTCGAAAGAGGCAGCGTTGATCATATTCCGACCACTGGCCGTACGTGTTCCCTTGCCGGCCTCTTTCTCGCTCTCTAGATGCTGTTGTTTTGTCGCTTGCTCAACAAGCTCGAGTGTTTGTGCAGCTTTCTCAACGTCGTCTTGCAAATCAGCGGCGAGCTCTTCTTGCATAGTGAGCAGATCCCGCTCTTCGCAGACAGTTTGGAGTTCCTGCTCCCAAATCTTAGTCCAGATGGGCTTCTCTTTGGAAAGCATGTCTTGTAGCTTCTTGAGCTCTGCCGTTGCGACGGAGAGATCTTTGGCGGTGACTTCGAGTTGGCGCGGTAGCGGGCGGACGCCTCGCATGACTACATCCTTGCGCAAGTCTTCAATGAGATCTTGCAAGTCGTCTACTCGGTTCACAATCTTTTCAGAGTCTTCTTGCAGAGTCTTCTTGCCAGCGTTGATGTATGCGCGACCAGAATCACCGTCAAGGGTTGGCAATGCTGCCTTGATGGCCGTGGACTTGACAGCAGCAGCCTTGGTGCGAATCGTTGACATGCTAGCTTGTATGTCCGAGACAAAGGAGGAGTAGGTTTGCCTGACTACAGCCAAGTCACGGCGAAGAGACTGAACCTCGCTGAGTTGCGTAGCCGAGTTCACATTACCATCCAGAGGAACACCGGCTGATACTGCGCGAGAAGGTATCAGCGCCGAGTTGCGTCCGGAATTGAGAGTCGGTGCTGCGGCGATGCCCGCGAGTTCTTTTGCTGTTTGCTGTTGTCGTTCAGCAACGCGTTGGATGGTCGATTGCTGATCCTCAACAACCGTCTTGATGCTCTCGACGAGTTTGTTTAGCCCGCCAAACTTCTCGTCGAAATGACTCTTGACTTCGTCGAGTTGCTCAACATTAAGAACAAGAACCGATCGGTCCTTGATGTCATTCATATCTTCGAGCTCATAGCGAACGCCAGAGACTGGATCCTGGATGTGTATTTCCGGAAGCTCGCCATAGCGATGGGTATCCCAGGCGAACTTCTCGATGAATGCTAGCTGCAGACGGCCAGCGGAGAGGTCGGAACCGTCTGCGAAGACGTATTTTTTGATCTTGCTCTTGTATTGTAGGAAGAGTGTTAGCTCCTTTCCTTGCTGAGGCGATTGCTCAGGAATGAACTGTGTAGGCTGGGGCGAGGGCGTCTTTGTCCTGGAATGCCGATGCAATGAGGACGCCGGGGCCGGGCTGGGGGGAGTTTTGGCTGGTGATGCCACCTCGGATGCCATTTCGACCGGCTCGGCCAGGGGCCCGTTCAGGGTAGCACCCAGCGATGGCTGCTCGCCATCAGGGAATTGAGGATTTCCAAGTTTATCCTGAGGGGTCTTCATGAGGGGGCTATCCTCGGGTTCGGCCTGTTTTGGTGGTGGCATGTTTACAGCCGAACCCTGTGCACTCTCCTCGGAGATGCGTCTCGAGGCCTCGTTTGGCTGGTCAAACGAGAACTTTGTTTCTACAGCAGGACGTTGCTGGTTCGACCGTTGCCGGCTATGCATCGTCGAAGCTCTCGTTCGCACCGCATTCATGGATTCTCGAACATCGCGGCCTCGATTGGGTATGGGGGAATTCTGCACCTGCGGCAGTGGGACACCCGTTGTACCAAGATGCTTCTGTATCTGATAGGCAGAGAATCGGCGCGAAGCTCGCCGCTCCAGCTCTCCTCCTCTTTGTAGTGCGGCCAATGCATCTTCTTGTTTCGGTGGTGGAGGAGGTGGGGGAAAATCGACGGCGTAGTTTGCTTGCGCGGGCTCCGGGGTTCTGGGCATGGAGTCGGCTGCTGGGTAGGGGGCGATGACAGGCATTTGCTGGGCGGTCGTACTCGATAGGGAAGAGTTGGTAGACTGGTGGCTCGCTGCCGTCGAACGATTGCCTCTTGGGTTTGCAGGGAGCGACTCGTACTTGCTGGGTGACGCGCGACCGGTGCCAGAGCCGGCCACGGAGGAGGAGCGGGGTGGGAGATCAGGGCCGCTTGCGCCAAAATCCGCGTTTTCCCCTCTGGATGGCAGTCTTGTGCTCGCCGAGCGCGACTGCTGGCCATCATCGACCTCGCCGGCGCTGCCCACACTGCCTTGCCGCGGGCTGGTGCCGTTGAGGGAGCCATCTCGTCCTGTGCGCTGTCGCAGGCGTTGCTGCTTCTTCTTCAGACCATGCAGTAGGTTGATGATGATGTCTCGTATCCGCGGGAGGAAGTTGTCGAGGCTGGACTGCGAGGCCTCCTGGCTCAGCGTCTCCTCGAGGATGCCGCGCAACAGCTCGGGAACATTGCCAAGATCGTTTGTGTCGACGCCAATGGCGTTGAAGGCGCGCGAGGCGATGTTGAATTCATAGCCCAGGCGCACATAGACGTCCGAGACTTCGCTCTCGGTGGCCGTCCCGCGCGACCATAGGGTCAAGGTCTCTGCGTCGCGTTAGTCGGTGCAGCAAGGAGGGGCTGGGAGAGGACGGCGAACACACCAAGCAGCTGCTTTGTGGCGACAAGCAGGTGGGTGACGGACTTTTCTATTTGCGAGAGCTGCTGCTGTGGCTGCATGTCCGGTTGTGTGTGTCAGTGGCAGAAGAGGTGATGGGGCAGGCTGTGTGTGTCTATATAGATTTGGGTATACCGTGAGGTTGGGGTTGGGCGCGCAGTGTGGAGTGGTCACGCATGGGGCAGACTCACGTTCTTGGGCGCACGTCTCGACGAGCCCTGGGACGAGCGAATGGAGGCGGAGGAGGCGTCTTCGGTCATGGCGAGCACGGTGGCGGGTGTGCTGCGGTGGTGTAGAGTGGTCGCGTGGAGGAGGGCGAAGGCATTACATGGGTGGAGGGATGGAGGGATGGAGGGATGGGATGGGTAGGGCAGGCAATAGGGCAAGTCGGCTCCGCGTTGGCGTGCAATCGTCTAGTTGGAAGTTAGTGTGCCCATGTACCCATGTACCTATGTAGAGTAGAGCAGAGCAGAGTAAAGCAGAGCAGAGTAGAGCAGAGCAGAGTAGAGCAGAGTAGAGCAGAGTAGAGCAGAGCAGAGCAGAGCAGGTGCGGTAGGCTGAGCAGAGCAGGTGGGTAGGCTCAGTAGGGGTAGGCACTCGTACTCTAGGCACAAGTACGTTTGGGGGAGCAGGGACATGTGGATTCTGATGCAACCTGGCTGGTGTCTGGCACGGTACCAGGTCTGGCCATTAGCCTATGCCCAGTATTGGTAGAGTACTCTACACAGGACCAAGTCCTGTCGTCGGCACGGGACTGTTCGTGCACTGTGGGAGGTAGGGGTTGGGTTGGGTTGGGGGGGGGGGGGGGGACGGCTAGTACGGGAAGGGTTAGGGGCACGTGCTCTCACTCTCACTCTCACTCTCTCTCTCCCCGAGTGAGTGAGCAGTGAACAAACTACGGTTGCCTGTTTCAGCGCTTCCTTCGCTTGCCATGTTTCAGCTTGTGTGTGCCTGGAGATGGATGGCCTAGGTAGGGTAGTGTAGGTATCTACCGGTAGTAGAGTCGTGGAGCAAACATGGATGGGGCAAGAGGACTGTTGTATGTACTTGCGTACGTCGTTTGTAGATGGTTTGTAGGTATGACACCTGGGTAGTTTGCTTGATTCGTGGCGTCCTCTCTTTTCTACTTTCTTGCTTTGTTCGAAACCGGTACCTGGTACCTTGACTGTCCTGCTGGCTGGATGCAGGTGGAATCACGTGTAGTCTACTTCACTGCACGTGTCGCCAGACCTACCTACCCCATGTACCGGTACTTCATGGGACAAGATACTTCCATGCAGGAAAACAGTAGCTGCCCGTATCCTGACCGCAGCGTCAGTACAGATCCCACCCTCTGTATGCGATGCCAGTTGTGAGTTGGTCCCATGTACTCATCACACCATCAATCTGGCCTTTTCTTACCAAAATCATGGTACCTATCCGTCAGCAACCAACATGGAAGGCATGGGATGATCATGTCCTAGCTATACAGTAGTCTACCTACAGTAGCGCACACGTTCATGCCCACTTGCAAAAGGTAGGGTAAGCGGTGGGCTGCTAGTCCCTTGAAGCGGTGAAACGTATCTTGACCAGGAAATCGACGGAGCACTGCATCCTACTCCTTCTCCTCCTCTTTTTCTTCTTCTTCTTCTTCTTCTTCTTCTTCTTCTTCCTCTTCCTCCCCTTTCTCTTCTCTTCCTTCTTGCTCAGTCCACGGTTGCGTCACCAAAGAAAGGCTTCTCTCCACATCCAACCCTGTCTACCTACAGTAGAGTATACCCACTTGGCCTGCCTCGACACCGCGGCAACGCCCATCCACGGGTACTTCCTGAGGCTGCCTTAGCGTCCGGTGTGGCTCTAGGTTGTTTCATCCAGCCGATCAGCTTGGCGTGGGCAGCATCTCACATTCGAACGACTGGCCAGTCTCTCTCGCACACGCACAGCCTCCCTAATCCTCTCCGCTGCTGTCGGACCACCAGCACCACCGCCGCCGCCGTCTTGCTGCCAGACTCGCCCACTCTCTTCAGCGTCGCCCTGCCGTCGCATTGAGTAGTGCCCTGCGTTGCTCTTACCTCTCGCCTTCACCACCCCCCCTGTCTCCATCGCCGACCAGGAGGAGCTTCTTGTTTCCTTCCCTCCTTCCCCCCGCAGCCTGCAGCCAGCACCTTCCTTCTCCCACACAAGCGACAAGCGACAAGCGACAAACCACAAAGGCCCCTTCCACTCCCCTCTTCTCCCCCTCCTTTCCCCCAGTCCCTCCCCTCTTCCATCTCCCCTCTCCACTCTCCCTCCGCCCCCCCCCCCCCCCAAAACGACAGCTGCGGAGCTCACCCACGCGAATCCCCGACGCCATCACCCACCACCCCATCCATGTCCGCTGCCGCTGCGACTCCAACTGTTGCCCCGTCCAATGCTCTGAACCCGTCCGCCAGCTCTGGCCGACCATTGAAGATGACCACGTCTGTCAAAGGCATTGACGTTCAGCGCAAGCCTGGAAGCCCCGTCGACGGCGGCCAGAGGTAAGCTCGCACTCACACTGCTACTTGCAATTCGCACTTCTCAGCCCACCAACCGTTACTTGCACATACATACACAAGCACACATACACTCGACCACCCACAGCTTTTTCTCGTGGCCAACAGCCTCGCACCCGTCATGCCTCGAGCGCTCTTCCGTCACCGCCACGGCTGCTACCCGGCGCGAATGGCTCGTGTGACGTGTGGTCAAGTCACATGAAGTCGCGGTGCGACAACGCTGTCCAGTAGCCGCTTGCCCCCTGTTATCATCCTGGCTGGATTATTTTTATCCTTCGTCGTCCTCTTACCTTGCCCGCATACTCGTCTGTGAGTCGCAATGCTAATTCAGTGCTCGCTTCAGGAAACCCCCGCCGCAAAAGGCATGGACTCAGGGCACCAATCCCATAACCCAGCGATCCTCCACGCCCGTCACCTCCAACGGCGCAGCAGCCCCCGTCAAGCCCCAGCATAACTCGACCGTACCCTCCGGCGAGACCGCAACGCCAATGAGACATCTCAATGATCGGATGATGTACCTGTTGGCCAATCTGACGGTGAGCCTTGGCCACATAAAGACTACCATCCCCAGCTAAGACTGACATGATGTTAGGGTCTACCTGGGACGATTACTTTGAAGAATGGCGAGAGATATTCGGGCGTGCTATCGGGCCATTCACTCGATCCAAGCGAACTACGCTATGTTTTCAAGATGGTGAAGAAGCTCGTACCTACTTCTAGTGCGCAAACCAATGGTACTGGCGACACCGACAGCTATGTAGGAACCGGCGACAGCTACGTAATGTCTTTCGACATGGGTGATGTTGCCGACTTCAATGTCAACAATGTCGTGCTGGACAAATCCCAGGCAAGGGCCCAGAATGGTGAGGATACTCTCAATCGCAGGATGCAATGTCAACTGACTTTTGTGAATAGGCACCGCTGGTTTCCGCACCGATACCGATATCTCGGGGCATATGGCTGTCCGTGAGCGCAACTTGCAAAGGTGGGAGCCAACGGAGACCGATTCGAACCTTTCGCTTGAGTCTTCCTCGCGGATAAATGAGTGGGATCAATTTGCTACTAATGAACGCATGTTTGGCGTCAAGAGCAACTATGACGAGAATCTCTACACAACGACGATCAACAAGAACGATCCACAGTATGCTCAAAGAGCAGCGCGTGCCGAGAAGCTAGCTCGTGAAATCGAGTCCAGCAGTGCACTCAACTCCCACGTCCGCGAAGAACGAGGCGGTCAAGTACCGGCTGATGATGCAGGGGCTGATGAAGAGGACAAATACAGTGGAGTTCGTCGCGACTTTCCCGCCCTGTCAACGGGACAGCCCAACAAGTATACGCCACCTGCACGACGTGCACCCGCAGCTCAGTCGTCCGTCTCTGGTGCGCCGATCGATCCTGCTATCATTTCAGCTGTTCCACGACCAGATTCGAAGTTGGCTCAACGTACTGCTAGCCCTGCAGCAGGAACGCCGGCACATACCGAGGCATCTCCAGCTACGTCAAACACCAAGGCTCCGGAACCTGCACCTTCGGACGCAGTGTCGAAGCCCGAAGCCAAGCAAGTCGATGTGCCCAAGCCCTCCATCGAGCAACCGCAGAAGCCGAGCAGTACCATAAAGCTGGGTGTAGCCGCGATTCCGCCTCGAAGGACTGGACGACCACACGATGCCACCACCAACGTCGAGCATGATCTGCTTGACTCCTTCAAGCAATTCTCCGCTGCAGAGAAACTACGCATATCCGACAGGCAGAGGGCGTTTGCACGCGAAAACAAGGCCGTCAAATTGAATGATCTGAAGAAATTTGCTCTCAACTTCAAGCTGAGCACACCTGTTCCCTCGGATCTGGTTCCTATCCTCGCCAAAGACGAGACAAAGCAACAGGCCATCGTCGAGAAGGCTCTCAAACAGGCACAAGAGGTTAAAAGTACACCTCCAAAGGCTTCGACTACTCCCTCAGACTCAAAGACAACTGCACGCTCTGCCACCAAACCTGACTCTGCCCAGCCTTCTTCAAATGGCCACGCAAATGGTCAGCAGAACCAGCGACCGCGTCCTGGTCAGACCGCATACGCTTCGGCAAGCATGCGTGACCGCACACATCAGAATTTAAACCAGACTCCCCTTCGTAACCAGGGTCCACTAAGCACACGTCTACAAACGAGTCAACAGCAACATAAGCAGCAAGGCAACATGACATACGGCACCGTACCCCAGCCTATACCCACTCAAGATATGCGTATGCCTCCTGCAGGTCCATCACAGCCCCCTAGCGGAATACAGACGCCCAGCTCTTCTCTTTCAAGATTCAACGTTCGCGCCAACGAATTCAAGCCGAATCCAGCAGCTCATACCTTTCAACCCGGTGGCAACCCTAGTGCCAATTCCAGTCCCAGACCCAACTCCGCTATGAAACAAGAAGTCCACCGGAGACCGTCGGCCATTACCAGCTTCTTTGGTGGTCAGAAGCCCTCAATAAAGCCCCTAGACGATAGAAATACCTTCAATGCGATCGGACGCATGGAAAAGGAATCTGAGAAAACTCACAATGGGAACATTCCACCCCCGTACAAGACTCCGCCAACATGGGACTTCCCAGCCGCCAATACGGACAAAGGTCACGTTCAGCTATTCGAGCATGCCGCTGCCACTGCACCCTTGACCGCGCCTCATGGTGCCATGGGAGGCGGGCCCATCCCCCATCAGCACCAGTTACCACCCCATCTTCAAGGAGCACCAGGCATGCCGCAAGGACCCACCCCCCAGCACACACCAGGTCGCCCGCCAGTCCAGCCGCATCCCGGACCCAATCAACATCATTACGAAGCACAGCATATGCAATTCTCTCACTCTACCTCTTCGATACAACCTTCTCCACGACCCATGCAACCTTATATGTACGGTGCCCAGCCCCAACAGATGTCTGGTTACCCCCAACCAGTACCAGTACCACAGTATGGATTGAGCCCGGGCGTGCAGCATGTCCCTCTAAGGAATGCACAAGGGGGCCAGTTCATCAGTCCTCCAGGGCCAGCGATGGGCGGTCATATGATGACCAACCAGCCTTCAAATGGACCTTTTATGCAGATGCCAGGCAACCCGCAGTTGCCCATGTACTCTCCAGCCCCTGGACCCGCTTATCCTCAATATTCTGGTCACATGCCTGGGCCCCCAGGTGCCAACGGCTTTCCAAGCCCACGGCCAGGTGCGCAAATGATGAGCCATCAGGGCTCGCAAGGAGGGCATCACCAGCAGCCACCAATGATGTACATGCAGCCTGGTGCCCCTGGGCCTCAGATGTACCAGATGCAGCCAGGATCAAGTAAGCAAACTACTGGGCCCTCCGCCACACGTGTTTACTAACAGTCTAGTAGTGACTCCAATGCGAGGGCCTTATGCTCAGCTACATCAAGGCCACTACGGCTCACCACAGCAGCATCATCAATTTCCACAGCAACATCGAGGCACTCCGAGCGGGAGTTACTCCCAGCCCATGATGCAGCAGCATTCGATGGGAGCCCCGATCCCGCCAACTGGGCCGGCCAACCACGGTCCAGAGACCAGTGACGAAGCCAAATGAGGCGTCCACCGGACGGCCTTGTTAAGGGCAGTAAAGTCTCCGCAGGTTCACGGCATCCGGCTCCTCTGGCTTGTCCATGACGGATACGCGAAGCCCGCTTTACGTTGAGCATAGGTGACTGTGACCTTCACGCCGTTATAGGTGTAGGTTATTCATGAGCGACTGGCGTTGGACGGGCATGGAAGGCGCGCAAAAGGGCAACGGCCCACCATGTGGCTTCTGACGGCAAGGAAAAGGGAGGCGACTTCAGTGCTACGGTTTGCCTGTTCATCTTCACATGAGGTGCAGGCGTAATGAGGAGTACAAGTCTAAGACTTGTGCATCACTTTAGGATACCAGACAATGTGAAAGGCGTAGAGTGGAGAGATTTGGTGAGAGGCTGAGGGGCGGCAACGTCCTGCCGCTTATGCAGTTTGTCTAGTGGATAACTGAGATTACCCGATAGCTATCAGAGCAATCAAATCGTAAACACTTGCCCTGATCGCCGACATGTGTAGTTGGGATGTTCGCCATGGAAATGCACCCCCTGGTCGGACTTTAGTTAGTTGCTTGTAGCTGACAGGGATCAGCAAGGGTGGTGGCATGTCATATGACCATGGGTTTAGCGTCAGGCGACTTGGGCTTTACTCCGAGTGGTTAGAATATCCCTGTAGGTTCAAGTCCACGTCACAGCGGCAAATTTTTATAGTTATATAAACTAGCCTATAGTTAAGTATAAATTAGGGTAATTTAAGTAAGTAAACGCAGTTTTTGTTACTATCTTTTTTAAATGTGTTCTAAACCTATTCTTAATAATATATAGGTGTTCCTAAATACTATACTAGAGTTTAGTATAGTAGTACTAGACAACGTATCTAAACTAGATAGTAATATTAGAGATAAATTTAGGCAACTATATAAAGTGCTAGAGGAGGATAGTAGTAGTAGTATTAAGGAAGTAAGTAAAAGTAAATAGAACAAGTTTAGAATAGGTTAGTAACACGTTACAGGGGCACAATATATACCTTACTTATAGTAATAGTTAAGGACTACTACTTATACTAGCAATTATTAAGTATATAGCTATTCTCCTAGTATACCCTTAATTATATAGCTAAGGGTATAGGTATATAATACTAGTTTAGCAATATAAAGATAGCTCTTACCTAACAAGAGAAGAGGTGCTTGTATAGGCTACACAGGTAACACGTTAAGAACACGTTCTTAAATTATTCTAATTCTAGCAGGTATAATACTCCTGCTAGTCTATCTATCTTAATAGGCCTACAACTTTACTATTCTTTAATAGCTAGCTAGCAAGCTAGTATAAATACTAATACTCTAGGGTAAAAGCGTGTAAGTATCTTAAGAATATATTATAAACGTGTTCTTATTACGTTGTTAATAACGTATTATATAATTAGATCTAAACCTTAAAAAGTGCAGTACCTAAGAAAATTCTATAAAGAGAACTATAAATAAGAAGCTATTATTATAGCCTTATTAAGCGCTTCTCTTTAAGGATTTATAAGGACTACTAGGTATCTTATTATCCTATAATAAGGACTATAGTAAATTAGGTAGGGAGCAAAACTTAAATATATTTAAAACGTATTAATAACAAGTTAGTAAATTATAGAATAGGCTTAACTATATATTAGCTGTTAGAACTATAGCCTAATATCTGCTACTAGGAAAAAATATTATTTTAGTTAGGTACTACTAGAGGTAGACTCCACATATCTACAAGGTCTTCTAACTAGGGAGATATTAAATCTTTCTAGTAGTCCTGCTTTATATTCTATAGTTAAGCTATAGTTAAGCTAGATAAAGAAGTGTGGTAGGTATATTGCAACCTATTCCTAACATGTTCCTAATATATTCTAGGCATTAATTATCTATAAGGGCAAGGATCTCTATTTAAAATCCTATATAAAGTTACCTTCTAAGTAATTATACTAATAGATATAGTAGTAATACCTTTTTTTGCTATTATTTCTTTTAGTATATATATATATATACCTCCTCCTCCCTTAACACTATCTAATAGTAATATTAAGGAAGTAGTAAAGGTGTTATAGCCTATGCTTACTCTATAGCTTACGTAATATAAGTTGTTTACAACCTATTATAAATGTGTTCCTAACTTATTATAGCCTAGTTCCTAAACTTAACCTAGCTCTAAACCTATCTCTAACTTAAAGGTTTCTATTTTATTAAAGAAATGCATATTAGCTTTACAAATAAAGATAAAATCTCGCGTATTATAAAGCGTGAAAAGCTTCTATAGTTCCTATTTAAGAGTAGCCTTAGAGGAGTATACTATAAGTAGAGGACAAAGCATTAGGATCCTAAAACTGTACGTAGTGTAAGAGAATAGGTTTAGAACACGTTGCTAACACGTTACTATAGGCGTATATACAGCAAATCTTTATATTAAGCTTAGGTAACTTAATTATTTACCTTTTTAAAGAGTAGGTATTAATTCTATTAGATTAAGACACGTTCTAGATAGATATGTTATATAAGAGGTTGTATAGGGTATAGGCAGAGATTCTAATAGTAATCTTCTACCTATAGGAAAAGAAGCGTACGTATTAAGAATAGGTTTATAATATATTTCTAACACGTTATAGTTATTATACTTAGCTAAATTATTATAGATAAGGATATAACTAAGATATATTAAGTTACTATTACTAACTTCTTTTAGAAGTGTAAAGCACTTATAAAAAGATAAGTATTATAAAGGTATATTTACTTATAGGGATTCTATAGGACTACTATTAATATATATAATAAGCAGATAACAGGTAAGTTTTATAGCGCACTATAACATGTTTATAACGTGTTTCTAACTTATTTCTAGGACTTAGGCGCTATCTCTAGTTAATTAATCCCTATAAGCGTGACTAGCGCTAGTAACTTTAATCTTGTATAAGATTTTATTAAGTACATCTACAAAGAAGTATTCACAAAGCATGTAAAAGAGAGCTAGATAATACTACCTCTTTATATCTAAGTGAATTACTACAGGCATTAATAGCAGAGGAATACTTTTAGCTTGCTAACCTCCTCTTACGTAAGTAAACATATTCTAAACCTATTCTAAACGTGTTCCTAACTTGTTCTTATATAATTAGAACACGAACCCTCTAAAGATACCTAAAACTAGGTAATCTATAAGAAAAACCTAGTAATTGCTGCTAGGATTGTGTAATGCTGTAGTAAAATATTAAAAGAGGTATAGGAAAAACTAGAATCTTATTTAAATATAGCTAAGCAAGCAGGCTAGAAAGGATATAAAACTAGTAAGCATATAAGTATTCTTAAGGCTACTTAGAAGTAAGTTTATAACCTATTCTTAACCTATTAGAATTATATAAGTAATATTATATAGTGCATACTAGATAGATCTATAGGATATAAAAGAGTTTAAAGCCTAGAGCAAGTTTAGAATACGCTATAACTATAGAACTCCTAATAGGCTTAAGTAAAGGTACCTTAAAAAGCTTTAGAGGGGAGAAAGTAAGTCTTACGCTAGTGTTATGCATATTTGCTAATTAAAACATGTTTAGAATATATTTAGAACGCGTCCTATAATAATAATAACACTCTAGATAATAATAAAGCAAGTCTTGCTATATCTAACTTAACTAGATATATCTTAGTCCTAATAAGAAATAAAAGAGCACGCTTAAAAGCCTAAAGCTAGAGGGCAAGTAGTAGAGTAGTATTAGAAAGAAGTTCACTAGCCCCTTTTCTATCTTCTCTACTACTAGGCTCTTCTCCTCTACTAATAGTAACCTAAAGGTATGCTTTGCGAAACATATTTATAACATATTCCTAACTTATTATTAGTCTTTAACTATAAACTTTATAATAAAAGGCTCTTTTTAGTAATTAGGCTCTAAAGGAGAGAAAAGAAAAGCTAGAGGTAGATAAGGAAGAACTTGTATAGAAAAAGGCACTATTTAAATTACAAAAGGCACAGTTTAAACTTAAGAAAGAGATAGCTACTTTTTATATAAGGTAGGGTTAGTCTATAAATATAGTAACTAGTTCCTAACTAGTTCTTAATATATTCTAGTCTATCACGTAAGTATATATAAGTAGATAAATATATATTCTTTCTTCTTCTCTTTCTTCTTCTTTCTTCTTACACTCTATAAGAACTTTTTATATTTAAGAGTTTAATACTATTTTACTATCTATCTTTCTTAATATTATTAGATATAACTAGTTAATATAGTCTATAAAGATCTTTTAAAGTTAGTATGTAATAGAACGCGTTAGGAACACGTTATAAACTTGTTCTAATACTAAGTAGGATTTATACTAGTAATATATTAAGCTTAAGTTACTTCTATCTAATACTAGGGTATTCTCTCCTGCAATATCCTACCTAAATAATAGGTGTATAGTATTTCCTAGCGAGCTTTTCTGCTAGGCTATTTAGGCTAGATTAGGGGTATAGGAACTTTATAGAGTATATATACATGTAAGTTAGAACACGTTTATAATATATTAATAACTATTTTAGCGTTGCTTCTCTAATAGAGGCAATCTTATCTACTACCTTAAGAGGTATTATCCTAAGGTTTAAATAGCCCTAGTAAACTATAGTAGAACTATAATACAAGGCATTACAGAAGCAAGGATCTTCTATAGGAGCTTAATAGTAAATACTTAAGAATGTGTTCTAAACACGTTAATAATACGTTCTCTACTAGTAGAGTAGACTACACTAAGTGCCTCCTCTAAGGTTTAAGAACCCTCTAAGATAGCTAGTCTATAATAAGAAGTAGTAGCTAGAGTAGAGGCTAAAGAGGAAGCAGAGAGTAAAGAAGAGGAGCAAATAGTTGCTCCCCTTTACACTATAAATAATATTTAAGCAAAAAGTAGCAAAAATGGGAGATATAAGTCTAGTCTTTTTAAAAACATGTTTAGGAATATAATTAATAATACGTTAATAGCTAGACACCTATTAAATACTAGATTCTTCTTTAATCTAAGGGGACTACTAAAGCTTTATAATACCTATAAAAGTTAAAAGAAAAAGTTATATACTATTAAAGGACCCTATAAAAGTAAATAGTACTTTACTTTTAGTAGATAGAAAAAAAAAGAGAAGAGTAAAGAGTTTATTTTAGTAATTACTACTACCCCTTTAGGTTATATACTATTATATATTATTTATTAGAACCTATTCTTAATATATTCTTAACGTGTTCCTACTTGTTGCTATTATTATCTCCCTCCCCCTCTCTAGTATCTTCTCTATCCTCCCTATCCTCCCTAGGCTCTACAAAAGCATACTATAAGTAGAACTAGGTAGCATTCTAGCAGGAATTAGCAAGGTCTACACTAGTATTAAAGTAATAGTCTTAAAACACGTTAGGAATAGGTTAATAATATATTATAAATAACTTACTATAGCTAGGATAATTACAAGCGTAGATAGTATAAGGAACCTAATAACCTTAAATCCTTAGTAGGGTAGATATAGCAACAAAGTTAAGCTATAATAAGTTAGTAACGTGTTTTTAATAGGTTCTTGCAGGCTATACCTTATTACTATTATAGCTACTACAAGTCTTCTTCTAAATTATATTTAGAAGGGTATTAGTATTTATAGGGGGGCCTATAGTAGCTACTAGCTAGGCTTAAAGAACTTCTATAAAATATATTAGTAATAAGTTTTAAATATATTCTAAATAACTTATAGTAAGGAGCGTTCTAATAATTATATATAACCTTTATATAGAAGTCTATATATATTAGTATAACAAGTTAAGAATAGGTTAATAATATGTTTACTCTTTGCCTTGTAGACCTCTATTATAGAGGGCTAGCTAGTCTTCTTAACCCTACTAACCTTATAGTAGGCTATATTAAGCCTATAATCTTTTTTAGCATAGGTATATAGAGTGCCCCTAGTACCTAGAATAGCCTAAGAATATTAGAACCTATTTAGAACATGTTTAGAACCTATTCTTACTCTATATAAGGTGCCCTTATTATTAATCTTAGTATAGTAGTAGTGCTCTCTACTCTCTATCTTAACTACCCTATTAGGGCTAACTATAGGCTATGCCCTAATATTATCTAGGACGTAGCTAAGGGCAAGGTACTATTAATAGTGCTTCTATAACCTATTAAGAACACATTCTAAATATATTTTAATCTACTTATATAGGATAAGAGAGATACGTTAGTAATAGGCATAGTAGCAGCAGCTTATAGTGTTACTAGTATAGAATATATTTAGAATAGGTTTAGAACGCATTATAAAATCTTATAGTATAATATTTAGTTAACCTTGCTTAGCTAGCTAGTAGAGCTTGGCACAGCCTAACCCTATGCTGAATACAAGTTCACGCAGCGCTAATTCTATGGTTATATGAACTGCGCCCTCTTAGCAAGGTACAGCCCGAGCCCACGTGTTAGCGCGTCTCTACCGTTCCCGCTCGTTCCCGTAAACGTTCCGACGCTACCCTGGTTTCCATCCCAACGTCACTTCACCGCCGGAAGTGAGCTGTAACCGACGCACGTAAACCTCCCCGCATGTAGTTGTCCCTTCCATCCTGGCTACAGACGAAGAGATTGAGTTGCAGAGCATGACCGAAGACGACGCCGCTGCCGAACGACTCATCACCCACAGCCGCGATGTTCCGAGCAGCCCGCGCGATGAATACGCAGACGAAGATGGCGAGGAGTATGCGGGCATAGACGTGGATGAGAGTAGTCTGGTCTCTCCTGGGGCGTTTATATGGGGCTTGACTCTGTGTGCTGGTGTCAGTGGTCTTTTGTTTGGCTATGAGTACGTTTGCCTGTTTTAATACCATCTTGCCATGCCCTGCACCATATGCGTGGTATGCCCATATACAACACCCCCTACACCCACAGCTGTTCTAACGACGGATAACAGCACCGGCGTAATCTCTTCGACCCTGGTATCCATCGGCTCAGACCTCTCCTCCCATCCTCTCACCACCCTCGACAAATCCCTAATCACATCGTGTACCTCATTCTTCGCCCTCCTCGCCTCGCCCTGTACCGGCCTTCTCGCTGACGCATATGGACGCAAAACCGTTATCCTGATCGCCGACGTCCTGTTCGTGGTTGGCGCTCTGATGCAGGCATGGACCACCACCGTAGCCGGTATGATTGTCGGCCGTAGCATCGTTGGTGCCGCCGTCGGAAGCGCAAGCTTCGTTGTGCCGCTGTATATCAGCGAATTGAGCCCTAGTCCATTTAGGGGCCGTTTGGTAGTGGTGAGCAGTTTGTTCATCACGGGCGGGCAGGTTGTTG